GAGTTTCATGTTTTTCTAAGAAATGTGAATGTTTGACTGCAAAATAAATAAAAAAGAAAGAATAAAGAATGAATTTTGACAAGTTTTCAAATATATTCATATATACCTTGGCTGGTCCAGGAATAGCTATAAATAAAGCAACCACAAAGTAGTTATTCCTTCAGTGAATATTTACAGTTTCAAGGGACATAAATCTTACATGTAATTCTTGGTGTGCAAGTTATTGTTATGCAAGTTATGCACGTTATGTGCAAGTTTATGTGCAAGTGGTATGCCATGTTGGATAAAGATCACAAAGCATTCCTCAATAGTCTCTCTTGCTCATTCATCTAACATGGTGGCAAGCTTTGTTTTCTTAGGGGATTCCTCAGGTCATGTTGTTGCACACCAAGAATAGTGATAAGGCTTAACTGACTGACCATGCATACCCAAAAAGAATTATTGATCTTCYAATTCAGTCAGAAGAATAAATTTCTAAATTTCATTGATTATTACATGGGCTTCCAAAGGAATACCATGTCTTAAATTACCGTCGTTCGTCTGTGGTATGCTTCAAATTATATCCRGGACCTTTTCTTTTTTGACATCTATTGTCTTTCTGTCATTGTTACTAAGCAACGATTCTAAGCTCACCTCGTGCTGCTTACTTCGACGAGCTACTACGACAGCTACTACAGTTTTAAAGATGGAAAACAAGCATCTAGCTTCTACAAATACGCTCAAATCTCACAGAAGATATCTTACGTTCGTTCACAAAATGAGAAAGAAACCTGGACCATTTGCTAGAAAATATGGACACAAAATCATGTATTTAAATAAAAAAAGGTAGGAATATCAGAAATTGTTAAACCTGCTTTCATGTAATTTGTTACATAATAAGTTTAAAGGAGTAAGTCACAGAGGGAATTGTACCAAGTATAAACTTTGCAATGACATAGAGAAAAACCCAGGTCCTGCTGTGTACTATGTTGACGCTAGTCAAACTATTCAGGCCCCATACAGTCAAGGAAACATTATGGTGTTCAGGGAAAATGCTGGACAACAATGTGTTGCAATGAGTCTTTGTGCATTAATATTTAATAATGAACGAAAAGGAAGAGACACATCTAATGATTTAAAACAAATCATGAACATTGTGGAAATGAACTCTACAGTAATTTATCACAATTAGCAAGACAATCATACCAAAAATATGCATTACCAGAGGAAGGCCATGTTTGCGATCGCTGATCGTCTAGTTATTATTAGGACAGTTGCTGACGAAAATCATGATCAGTCAGCTGAAAAAAAAAAATCTCACAACCTTCATTGTCTTACCGCATTTCCAAACGAGCCAGTTTATTGTACCATCCTCTCTTTTTAAAGGATTTGCAATAAAATCCTGAAATCAAAAAGATTTAAATATAAACGTAACTTATAGGAACGAAATGTCAACTTTGACATTTTTTCACACGTGCGAGAAAGAAAATTCAAAAACTTGCGCCAAAACATGACACGCAATTCGACCAATAGCTTAGGCCCAAGTTAAAGGGACGGTACTTGCATAAACTACATGCCAATCTATATGATTTACCTTGGGATGAAAGCACTTCCATGCTTTGTGTTCTTCCTTCAGTCTTTCAACTGGATCAACTTTAGCCGCCATTTTGAGCATGAAGTATTTGAGCCCGCAATCAGCACACAGRAAGCCCAGAAAGCTAGGACATGCCAGTGGACCAATCTTTTTACCACAACGACTATTTTTACGTATGTTTATTACCACGCAAGGTGTACAACTGTTTCAGAAAACGCATTGTGYCGTTCTATGGCCGTTGAAAAGGTGTATTTGTGACTATACCAGTTCAATGTAGTCAAGAACTTCATGGAGTAAGAATTGATATTTTGGAAACGCAGCTAGCGCGGTCTTGGAATGCACAATGCAGAATTCAACGTTTCCTGGAAAAGCTATATATTGTAAAAAAATATTATGATACTGGTACTCAAGCGACGTACATGGAATCGCACAATAATCCCAGACCCCGGAGAATCCTGGGAGAATTGATATTTCAACAACTAGAAAAATGAGCTCATTAGTCTTGTTTGATCAGTCCTGGATTTTTYCGTATCATACAGACAAGGAACGCAGCTAATTCAACATATTATTTCCTTTGATCTTGACAGTATCTTGACGTTAATTCTCCCGCCTGCCCGTGGATTGGGTGGACTCCTCCATTCACACCAAAAAAAAGCGAAGAGTAAAAAAATCGAACCTCTAGACCAGGGTACACCATCTTCAATCAAAGTCATGGATTCACAATTGTTATTCCAGATGTTCCATACTTTAGCGGTTGACAAGCTAGCGTGTTAAGATGCAGGCGAAACTTGTCGACATRGTACTCAACAAGTACTTGTAAAACCCATGGAAAATGGGCGTATTTAGAGGAGGGTCACATGGTACCTGCGACCTCGCTTCAAAGCACTAATTGATATTTACAAAAATTCCCAAAATAGAAACATGCGAGCGACAGTTTTCGACATGATTCTTTGCTCCTAAAACAATACTGATTTCTGTGCGAATTCAATATGGAAAAAAGGAAAGTAATGTTTTTATAGCAGTGGGACATGAGGCTCAAGGAGTCCTGAAAACAATAGAGTTAAGCTTTGGAATATGAAATTCTTTCGCAAGAACACTGCTTTAGTTATTTTTCAGCATGGGGGTGCCATTTCAGACGTGTGCATGTTTTTTTCAATATAGGAGCGCAAACTAATTACAATTCATATAGTGTAGAACACTAGAAAGAGGGAGAGTGGTGTCAGTAGGTTRGAAACGCAAATCAGGCCACTTTATTGTTGTTGTTGTTCTTTTGCTTTTATTTTTGWTTTGTTTGTYTGTWTATTTTTGTGTGTCCGGTTGTGTGTTGTTGTCTGTTTGTTTTTGTGATTTTCCATACTTTCTTACTTATTTTAATGAGCGAGTTTCGATTAATTGCATACTGGATCAATCCYAGACTTCTGGGGKTGTTTCTCTAGGTCCTATTTGCTCGAGTTGTATGATGGGATCTTCACCAACGTATTCGTCGTTTTCAAAATATCCCTTTTGTCTAAAATAAAATGACAAATACCAAAGTTATACAATTTCCATACTCCATCGCCACAGGGTCCCCAGCCTACACGAGACGCATTCTAAAAGATCGCCGACTGTACAATTTTCAAAAAGACCCCTAAAAAATCTCGGAAGTCTTGAAAAAAGGAAGGGCTTGGCTAACTGATTTTTAACCCCTAAGAGATTACACAACAAATATTGTTAAATTAAATCATTTCCAATTATAAAAACGTAGAGGAAAAACAATATCGATGCGCCCTTTCTCTTCTTTTCCGACAGCCTAAGAGATTGCAGAAAATTCAAGTTTCCAGAAACTCCAAATTTGCTTAATAGATTCCAAATCACGAATTTTTACTCCTAAGAGATCCGACGAGTATCCCAGGTACTTTTATCCCGGAGTTCCCCCCCCCCCCCCCCCTCCCTCTCCCCCCTGGGCATCAGCCTTTTTTGAGTGTAATTTGTGGACTTCTTGAAACAACAATTCAGTCAAAAAAGTTTCCTGCACTTCCGGTACGCAAACGCAAACTTGTACGTCAGGCGATTTAGAATGCGTGTGACAGATCCTTGCGCGCCTTCGCAAGTTTTTCAGGTTTTTGGACGTGTCATCTGACCTATATCTATATCTGGTGACGCAGTAAGTCCCATGTTTCCGTTTTTAAAACGTGCATCTGCATGAGCAGTTTATATTTTTAGCGTTAACAAGTTAAACTGTAATATGTATGGTAATAGTTATAAGAGAGTGACAGCGATCTAGGGATAATTTTAGCTCATATATCTGTATAGAATGTATTTCGTCGTGTGGATAGATTCTGTTTGTCTCGTTGTTGAGCAACAACTAACCTTGTCCCATCGGGTCTGACCAGCTCTCCTTTGCCGTGTCTTAAACCATTCTTCCAATGACCAAAATAGACATCACCATTATCGTACGTATAGCTGGCTTCACCGTGTCTGGGTCGAGGCTTGTCTACTTGTAGAACAGCTGCCATGTCTTCATCGACGTCATCACAGCAATCAGCGCATTCACAACAGCCTTCTGTACACGACCTGACTGGACTAGGACAGCGACAGAATGCTGGACATTCTACAGACTTCAGGCAGTAACATATGCAGCATTTAGCGCAGTTTGCCCCCATTTTGCTTTGATCAGACCGGATATTGATGAGAGAAGTCACGATATATTGAAGTACTTGCGTGAGCCATATAATTGCATGAGTACCTTTATGTCACGCTATGTAACGCTCTAACTACTACAAGGACTGCGAGATAACATCGCATTTGCGTGCTTGAGAAATATTAAGAATGATCACGTGACCTATGCAGCCATTACGACCATATATGTCCCGCTTTTTTCTCAAAATCGGCTAGAGGAATTTCTTTGATTTGTGATATATTATATCCCACAGCAAGGGGCTTCCTATAATTTTTTTCCGACCATACCTCTCCTTTTAAATTCGCTTTTTGAAAATCTTGCCATGCACCGATTTACTTGGTGTTTGGACCAGTAATAAAGCATTGATCAGAGTTTTCTATATTTAGCTCCATCAACGTTACCTAGGCAACAGAAATCGCATTTTGTTGAAATTCATTTTTGCCAAATACAGTTGACTCTCTTTGAACGACCACTCTCGTAAGCGACCATCTCCTTAAGCTACCACCTTTTAAATTTCTTTTTATAATTGTTTCCCATATAAACTCTGTAAAAAAAACTCGTAAGCGACCATCTCTTGTAAGCGACCACATTTCCCTGATCCCGAGGTGGTCGCTTACGTGGAGTTGACTGTATCTAAAAAATTGACGAGATTCAGAGTAATATGCAAAAATCACATCCATAAAATATTTGTCAATACTTGAAAATCTATAGGTTCTTATAAGCGGGATTTTACTTTATCGCTGATTAACAGGCTCCAGACAAACTGACATTCGCACCTTAAAATATAGAAGCAATTTTTAATATTCCAGAATAAACGTAACCTTTACATTATGAATTGGCATAAGCAACACACTTTCATTTACTCTCAATGCAGTGCATAATTGACCTCTGAACCTTTTACGTCACTACTTGATTTGCAATGCATTGTGGATTCAGTTCCTAGAAACAAAAGAAATCCGCCATGTTCTGTCCCAAACATATCTTACAATGTACTCCTTATACGGTACATGACGTAAAAGCTTCAAAGGACTATTATCATTTATTTATTACTTTGTAATATGGTTTTCATCAACCCATGAAACAAAGTGTAATAGCCAGAGCGCAGTAATATGAAATACCACAAAATGGCCACGAAAATGTGCAAAATGAAGAGTAATAATAAATGTAGGGCGCTAAAGTTTATATTTCACGAGTTAATGAAAACCACTGTACCTTTCAATTTCTTCATATAATTAATTCAGTTAACACAATACTACACTCTCTCAACCTAACTACAGACTCGTACCCAGTCGTTACGCTTTTCTTTACGCTCGAAGGGCGTCGCTCGAGAGAAGCGACTGGGTATGAGTCTGATCTGACCTGGCTAAGTTCTCTCGTCAAAGTAAACACCAAAGTTTATCAAGGGTGGATTCAGAGTAACATCGTGGGGGGAGGTCTCGTCCTACCTGTCTTAAGGTCAAAAGGATATTTTTTTCAATATCAAAATTCAGACAATCATGTTATCGAAAAATTATGTCTTAGTGATCAATGCTTCCGGTAATCCTATGTATGCTTAGTATCAATTATGCCATAAAAACCCTCTAGGCTATACTGCATGAACCGTGGTTTAAATCAACCCTCAAAGACAACTTTGAGGAGGACTTACAACTATAAAGGCCTAACAATGATTTAGTTAAATATCAAAACTAAGGTCCCCTCTTTAGCAGTCTTATTGAATTATATATCTTTGATTTCATTGGCTCTATTTCTAACTTAGTTTATTTTTGGACAGTGTCGTACGATTGGCCGTTTTTGCCATTCAATAGTCGGTCACGTGATGTTTCCTCTTCCTCGGCCTTGGCTTGCTCGATTTTCTGGATATCGCCTTTTCTGAGATCTCTGTTGGATCGAATACGAAGACGTTAGCATCGCTATTATGGTGATTGTCATGTCACGCTAAATGCATAAAGAGTCCAACCCAGCGCTACTTATAATTGCCTATCCAATATTTCCCGATCTAGACCTAGCCATGAAAATTCGTTCCAATTTGTACATGAGATCCCTTCTTTACGTAGATCAGTGACCCTACATATGTACATCCATATATGGAAGAAGGACGAGAGATCTCCAAAACGTTGCAAAAAATATCACGACCACGAATTTCTTTATTGGTATTCTGCTTTTTTTATTTGATCTTTTTTTTCCCTAAATATGAAAAATGAGCCCCACAAGTACACGCAGGTTTACTTACAATTGCCGCGCACATAATTTGTTGTCGCCTGTGTTTAAGATAGAGTATGCTCCCTATAAGATCGTACTGATCCTTACAGTCCTCAATGTAAAAGATTCAGGTCCTCACCGAACAATAGGCAACACTGGATCTGGGGGGAGGGGGAGGGGAGGTCAAATACATAGGAGAATGTGTAATTTCGGTTCGTTCGCAAAAACAGTTTTATTGATCCCCACGTTATTATCAGCGTGAATGGACGTTAGCCAACCATTGGAACTTGAAGCGTGATTTTAGCGCACGACAAAATTTAAATTGTGTTTTTATGCGCATACGAATGTATGTTATTAATCTGTCAATTAAAACTACGTTCCCCAACACCCGGGAAATATTAACATTTCAACATGTTAAAGTCACCCCAATACCCGGCTCTTAGAGGTCAAAAAAGGCGGCTAAATTGATCCTTTTTGATTTAGACGTTAATTTCACCGCCTAAGCATTGATTGTGCTGTTCCCGACCCTCCCCGGGGAATGGGGACAGGGCTTCACTGATAAACCCTTTTAGCGATCTCTTTTACACTGTGTTGGCCTCAAAACCATGTAATAAATTTTTTTATTTACAACAGCCCGTGCAAAAGCAAGAGATCTGTGAGTGTAGAAGACAATGGAAATAGTTTGAAATTTCTCAAGTTTCATCTAAAGTTCTGAATATTTTGCATACAATTGAGGCTAACACAGCGTAAAAGAGATCGCGAAACTCATCAAGTATTGACTGCGGCATTATGAAGTCTATGGTTACGATGTGCTTATCAGTTATAAGTAAAAAGATGGATCAATATGATGGCAATGGTTTTAGATGTCAGTTTCTTACCCTTCTGTTTCATCGTCAGATGTTTTGTGTTTCTTAGAAAAAGGTCGTGACGTCACAGGGCTTCGTTTCAACCTGTCATCGGGCTTCTCTCCCACATAATCATCTTCATAGAAAAAACCTACCAGACTGCAAAAAAAAAAATAACTAAATACAAAATAAATGCAAAACATTATTGAATTGAATAATGTTTTTAAAAATTCCGTAAATTATAATTTTAAGTGGGCGATTTTTTCCATTGTTAATTGCTTAATATTCTATTGTTTTCTATCTTAGGAATGAGGCTATTCCCGTCTTTACAGGAATTTAAGAATAGTCAATAAATTCCATCGTTAGAAAAAAAAATTTCTGTTATGTATAAGATGCAAATACTAAAACCATGAAAAACATATTATGGGCTATCAGAAATCCAGCATTCTGATTGGGTACTGAACTATCGCATCGAATGAAGGGATAATTTTTATTTGACGTATATTTTGGTTGCTTGTATACTAATTCATAGTACCGACAAATCAAGCTCGTGCGTGCGATTATCCAATCAGAAGAAAGCGCGGGAATCGAACGCTCGCGCTTGTCCCACAAATGACCCACAAATGCTTTSGAWTTTTTGTAAATGACATTCTTYGGAYGATTTSTCRATAGAATTTCCGATAAATTTTCTGTTTCTTTTGTTAAAAACAATCTGAAGTCAATTTGAAAAAGGCCTAGAGAAATGATTTAATTATTTATGAATTTTACTTTGAGCACTTCGTGCTTTTTCCGGCACATTTTGATCCAATTCAAGCATTTTTCTAGGTTAGTTTTTGCCTTGGGAATCAAAATAAATCGTCCTCCATTTCACCTGGCTGGCTAGCGCTCATTTGCTTTACAAGTGCCCCAGCAACATCTCAAAACCATCTCAACTTCGCCCTCCGAACCGACTTGTTTACATTTTTTGTGGGACAACATGGCTGCCATTACGTGTCCTCTATTTTGATTGGCCAATCCAGCGTGCGCTGATAACGAGTTTGATTTGTCGGAACTATGAATAGGAATCGAAGGAATTAGCACAATTTATGATTAAATCAAAAGTACCTGATACACCTAATTGAAGAGGCCTTGTCCGGCATTAGCTAAGACCGAAAGTTAAGATGGGAAAGCAAACAGTTGGAACAATATCTCGTATACACCTGAATGAATGAACGTTGTCAAGTGAATTAAATAAAAACAGCGCAAACAGAGCGATCGACGACGATTTTAAAATCGAATCATATTTGCCTGTTACTACCATTACTCGTCGAGACGATCATTTTATTCAATGCAATTTTCTTGTCTTCCCTTGTATTAGATTTAACCTTTTGGAACCCGTTCCTTTTTTCAATTTGGTTTATAACGGTGTTCCATAATCAGTTCTGTTACATGTCATGGTTTCCTAGGATTCTGTAGTGTTCTCTCGGCTACATCCCGCGTGTTTTGATAAGGTCAGTGTTCATTTTTGACTGTTTTTAGTCCATCACTATCCTGGTCCATCAGGTGTCACCTTTTTAGAGTATCTTTTTGTATTCTAAACAAATGTTGCGCTGAATCGATGTTGTTCTACCGACCTTGCGATGAATAAGAAAACGTAATCCTGACATGGTCAAATATAACATTTTCAATTGAAATTTTGATTAATTGACGTCAAGTCCATATGGGAAGACTCTCGCCATGGAAACAAATGGATGGTGGCCTAGCAACCGATTTGAGCACGAAGTATTTGACGAACTCTATCCGTGACGGTTTCTTGTTAATACTTTACATAAATACAATGTCTCACCTACGTGTACATAACATGCGATCGCGTAAATGCAAGTAGCTAGTGTATCTATAAGGTTGCGTTCCTTTACGAAAATGATTATACGGTTTGGCTTTCCATCTACGCAACGTAAGATGAATACGAAACGCAACTGTATTTAGTTACGGCTTCCATTAAGTACGCAAAATGGATTCGAAAACGCAAACACAACGCAACTGCATTTAGTTGCATGACTAGCTCTCCTTTTACTGCCCTCCCCAAGATCAACTTGAACCGCGGTTACTCCTTCCGTCTTCACTTCGTATTTATAAGACTGTTCTATACGCAACATTAATGAAAAAAAACTTTATTTGCATAATTAAATTTGTTGTCTACATAAGACAAGATAAATGCGAAAATGCAGCTATATTTGCGCGCCTCGGCCTTCAAACGCATTTATAACTTCGAAAATGCAACACTGATTTTATGTTTAGATGTCCTGATACCTAAGAAATAAAAAAGTACTAATTATGTCCGTCTTTTAATGTGATAAATATATCTGGCATGTATTTCAGTATTGTGAGTGGTAGAGAAGATCCTGAATTAAAATGAAAAAGACTGAGATTTTAATCAAGAATCTTATTTTTTTTTAATATTTCTGTTTATCTCGAAGTACCAAAAGCAATAAACGTTCATACTAAATACTACAGTGTCCATTTAAGATTTTGATCATTTTTTTGTCTAAATGCCATACTGTTTGTTTAATAGTTACTTGAATTAAACATATACGAGCGGTAAAATTATGCTTCACATATTTTCAATTTTTTGGTGGGCTTAATAAAATAAAAAGCTTATTAGCGAAAGAGGTTTCGAAACTGAAATCACTATTGTTACTAAAATCACAGAAAAAAATTAGCTGCAAGAGTCCATCTTTTTTTGAACTCAAACCAACGCTAAAAAAGCGTCATTTCGTATGCGTGAATGATTATATTAGAAAGTACAAAGTATGTAATACTAAAAGCTACAATTTGAATAAGACAAAAGGGTTCAAATTGAATCAGATTTAATCAATAGCCATCTTTTCATTGTCTTCAGCAAAAATTAGGCGGTAATTTCAACGTAATTTTAGACGTGGCTACGTAAGAACTTATTTTTGACCTTACCAGTCGCGACTGGCTCGCTTCGACGCGAACTCAAGAGTTTACTATTTCAAAGTAAGAAAATCATTATCTTTCAATTAAATACTAACCTAAAATATTACAATGTTTGTTTTTTTGTGCGAAAAGGCCGGCCTCTCCTTCTCATATCTTAGACATAAAAACCGTAAAGGCCCGTAAAATGAATGTTTTATTAATAAAAAAATCAAATATATATAAGTTCATTTTCATTCAAACAAAAAATGTTTTCTATGATCATGATCAACAATAAATATTTCATTTAAAATATCTTCTATTAGACTCAAATTAATATTGCAATAATTTTTTAAAATTTGAACAATGAAAATATGTCTAAAAGTTGGTGAAAGTTGAAGAAAATTATTCATAACAAACCGTGTTCCGTCTCTCTTCTCCAAAGAGCCGTAGCCGTGTCGTTTCCCTCTTCGCCATTCTCCAACGTAGAAGTCGCCATTATCATATTGATACATGCCTTCCCCTTCGTCTGGAGGTTTTTGAGGCTTCTTGGGGCTTTGAATTATCATTTCTTCATCTTCTTGCTCTTCGCAACAGTCACTACACATCCACCAATCGCCAAACCACTTTCTACAGCATAAACAACAACCACATGCTGGTCCGCACTCGCAGCATCGACAAAGATGACATTGACACAGCTTTGTCATACATTCGCCCATTTCAAAGCCTTGAGAAGAGTTTGTGAGCGAAGGTAATGTGTAAACAACGAGGTCAAACGCGTTTTGGCAAAGCTCTTCTTGCACAAGAGACTAAACCGTCCCGGTGATTGAAGCAAAGTGCGCGCTTGAACGGTTCAATGGTGCAAATTTGCATAATATTACGGACGAGTCAACGTTATGGAAGGTCAACGAGTCGTAGGAACAAAACAAATATACACAAAGTTGAAAAATGTTTTTGTACCGTGTGTTGATGTGTAAAATGATATCATTATTTTTGTGAATGGAATGTTCAATGCTATTTTGAGAAGAACACCCCCACTAATTCCACATGGCTACTTATCTGTTGCTAGATTTAGCATGAGACATCAACCCGTGCTTGCTATCATAGTCTGTTTGTTCATAGACGGTATGCCATCGAACTATGAATATAAAAAGCGATTTAATTGGACGGACGCGGTCTAAGATTTGCAATGGGAGGCCAACGAAAGCTGAAAAAGCGGGGTTTCTATAAAATAATATTTTTAAACTGTTGATTTTGGGCTTTTCGAACTTCATTTGTATTAGTGTGTTTATCATTAGATTTCCAAATTCTATGTATTGTGTTCGAAAAAGCGTTTTTGGTGTAGATTTAAGACAAATTAACATGGGAGTATGCTTTTAGCAACAAGACACAGCGGCCATTTTGGTAAGGGGTGCCTGATGATGTATACTGCATAGAAAAACTGGCGTCGATTAGGATTCAACTACAAAATAATATTGAATATATCTTGAATATATCAAGATGTTGAACTAGAAAAATACCAAAACTGACATGGAATGTTTCTGTTCTATCAAATGTATATGGTGGCCATCTTGAATCGCGCAAGGTGATATGGGTACTTCAAGGACGGAACAAAGCAGAATAAAAAATGTCGGTTATAAAATGAGTTTCGTTTATTTGTTTCTTTCTTTCATGTCCATTTTGATTTGTCTCTTAAGAACTTGGTTTGTTTTCAGTTGAATATCAAGTGATATACACAAAAATAATGTTTATTTGAAATAAACATATTTAGTGCTTGACGTCTTGTCAAAATGTCTGCGGTATCATCAAAGTGGCCCATGTGATTTTATCAGCTCTAAACGATCTTGTGGATTTAAGGTTATTGGTAACGAGAACTTATAGAGTAAAGGATAACGAGAAGAAATCACCGGTTGTCATGGGGAAGTTTACCTTGCCCCACAATTCATTGCGACAAAATTGGCGCGAAATTCTCAAGAAAGGAACCGGCTCATTGAAGTTATATTTACCAGCTAGACGGATTCCCTAGTAATCGAGATGTAATACCATTCTACATATTTAAAGTGTTTTATAATTGCTTAGACATTAAAGGACTTATAGAAAATTTCATCTAAAGTCATTGATCTAGGTTTAAACCAAAAGTCTTTAGTCCTTTACGCACATAAACCCTGTAGTTTCTTGAGAATACTAGTTTCGTCTTACCATGGAWTATCCATGTTCTTACGAACTTATCAATTCTAAAATAAACCGTCATTTGCGCGCACTATTTCATATGAAACTTGCCCTTAACATTTCTTTGTATCTCGTTTCGAGGTCGAGTGTCACGCAACTGCGCCCATACAAAATGTGGCTGAATTTTGCACATTTTCTTACTTTTCACGCAGTTCCTTTTTTCTGACGCAAATAATACCTCCGATTCTTAAAAGATACACATTTAAGCAATACACAACCATGAAAATAAATTCAAWTKTCAAAAAATTGAGTTCGGGTTTTTGGGGTTGAAGTTAACAATTTTGGCTGTTTTTACAAAGGATTCATCTAGTGATGATGTACGCTTTACAGTATGTGACCTCTAGCTACGTCAATYGCGCGTGTATCCAATTAATACCTCTGAATTTGAACTCTCCAATAAATTTGGCGTAATTTGATGTATAATACTTGTATGTTCGTTAAGATTTCGGTTCGGGTTTTGGCTTACGAAGTTTGTGTACTTGTCGTATTTTGTGTCTTGACCCTCAGTACGGTCACAGTGAGGGCGCAAAACGAGAGTGAAAATGRAAAGCARAGCACATTTAAGAGTAATTCTCCTTGGTTTTTGTATGGAATTATAAAGTACGGCACTTTCTGATAAATTCGAAATTGAACATATTTGATTTTTTTAATTTTATTTATTTTTTGCTGCCTAATATATAACATGTCTAGGACTGTGGAAGAACTGACACTTCCTTCGATAACAAACRCAAAATCACCATTTTTATTGAATATGCGGTTATTCCATTTGTCTCCTAGTACACATTCTAAGTCCTTATTTTAAAGATACGATAAACGGACTTCCCGYGTTCTTGTTTTAAGTTCTCAACTACAGCGATTCATTCATGAAATACGAGTACTGGCCGGGTCATCTTATCCAGAATACAACCTTCGCTTAATCTCACGATAATATTCTCCATAACTCATAAGTCTTTTCTGTCCATAAGAGAAGCCGTTGATGGTATCTTATAAGGTTCTAAACGCGGAAAAACTCGCTTTAGTTTTATCCCCTTCATAACAACAAGGCCTCCACTCATCGCACGAATTACTGTAGCCCACAAACTGGATTTTAACATTCTTTATAATTTTCGATCTTGGCGTTTCTTTCTAACATTTTCCGGCTTAATAACTTCAGTAAAACATTCATTAATGGAGAGTTTCGGTGGCTTTCTTTGGAGTACTGATTTCAGTGACTCCATGTTGACTATACTATCACATCACGAAAGCGTTACTTCCCGCGAAATTTGATACTACAGCGCAAGCGCACTAGTGAAAAAAATGGTCGAGCGTACCTGGACACGAGTGAGAGCTAAATGTTCACGATGTATGGCAATAAGTTTGATATGAAAAGTAATACAACACAGCGCTCTAAATACATACGTAACGCACGATCTACAAAAACATAATTACATCACAAGTGTTAAATATCAAGAGTGTTCTATATTCATCCTAGGAATTCTGACATGGTTCCATTCGTTCTTAGTGTTCATATTCACTGATGTTTCTTTCCTTCTTGTTTACACTGTTATTTGTCTTTCCATTGTATTTTGAGGGAGTGCGCCTGATACAATTATACAATGTTCAGATCGTTCTTAGGCTACGTTCACACGTGGCCGGTTCTGTTCGGAACCGTTCTAGCATGTTCTAGTTTAGGCGCGCGTTCACAATGGAACTCTGGAACTGGCCTCATCTGAGGCTGGCAAAGTGTTCAGGTTTGGGACGGGCTAAAAAACCGATCCACTTTGAGGACGGGTCACTTCGAAGCATGAACGGATCCGTGTGAACACTGTTTCAATCCGTACCGAAATGTGGACGGTTCCGTGTGAACGTAGTCTTAGTCATCAATTATCAATGTATATAAACTGGACGATTACAGATCGCATACAAGGGCTTCCTGTAGTAATAACTGACAAATCAGAAGCGATCATGTGATAATATAGCGGGCATCCACGTGCAAGGCGAAACCACAGGGCCCCCGTGCAATTTATTTTCACCGCAAAAGCCTATTATTCTGATCTGCATGAATGTCCACTCATCCGTGATACAACCACTTGGATTACTGCATGAGCAAAAAAATCGTCTTGAATCGTCAACAAATTGATCTCCAAGATGGACACAAACTGGACAGAATACAAGTGTAAATCAGGACAAACTCTATTTATCTACAACAAGGCGACAGGAGAACACAAGTGGCCATCTGATGTAGGTTTGATTTGCATGTTAATATGATTGCTATGGAGATCAGTCAGCTCGTTGAATAGTTTCAAAAATGTTTTTTTATAAGTTTCCAAGGAATATTTTCATTTAATAACTCAAGAAAAATAGCATATCAAAGACTTTATACGACTTCATGTTGAATATTCTTGTAAAAGATTAAGACTTTACAACTGAACAGCGTTAATGGGGACCTTGATTCAGTATGAACATTGTAATCTCGTTCCCATTTGCTGTCTTCTCGCACCACAAACATGTGAAACTTGACTGTAACTCACTTTTAACCACAGCATTGTACAGTTACTGTCTGGTTCACTGCTATTTCTGTGATATAATTCATGCATGTCAAGAGCCTTTCGACATCTATTGTGTATATGAGCTTACATGACTTATTATAATGTTTGTGACGAAAGGCCTCATTCACTTTACTCACCAAAGGATACTTATATACATGACAAAATAAAAGGCTTTCCATTCCTTATGCCTATATTTATGCTACTACCCACTTCTAAAGTTACTTGTTGTGTTACCAAGTAAGTTTATTTTTTAATTCGGAACAACCAACGAACACCCCGCAAAAAATCGCATCATATAAACGATAGCTACGGCTAAAGGTCCTACAGGTCAAAATAAATTGGACTTCCTGTGTGTTTAATTAAACGAAGTATATGCTATGGATGGTAGCCGGTTATAATGGCTAAATCGGCTACAGGTTCAAATGAAGTAACCGGTCTTCCTGTGTGTTTAATAATAGAACGAAATATACGATATGACTATTTTGGTATCCCTGTGTATCTTACTGTACCCGTAGCTGCGGCTAGAGGTAAAGGGTTTAGTGGCGGGGTATTCGATAGCTGTAACTTATCAATTAGTAAGTACAAAAAAAGTGTTCAGCATTAGTGATTTTTTTCCCTTTTAAAGTGGACATATGAGTTGCTACTGGATCTCTAAATTCAAGAGTGTTTTTGTAATTAAGAATACATTTTTAACTAACAAGCATTTTCTTTAAATCCCTCTGTTGTTTCAGGGCTCTACAGCAGACAACTGTGTCATGATTGGTCAACCAGTTGTCTACAAAGAAGTCTGCACCATTGGTACACAGACAGATGACAATGGATGTAATAATGGCTGTACTTCCATCTACATCAATACAGACCATGTTATCAACATCACACAAACATCACCACTGCAAGAACCAGTTGTTTTAAAAGTAGCTAGAGATGACATAGATATTGAACCTGGTCTAGATAATGGATTGGATAATGGAGGGAGAGAAGAGATAAGCATGGAAGACATCACCAACAACACAGAAACACCTTCAAAAGAAACAGGTGAATTAGATGAAGTCACAGACAAGTCTGTTCTTGAAGAAACATGTGAGGACAGCTTTGATGGAGACGGTGCTCAGCCAACAGATGAGCCTGTCAATATTAACGCTAACGATGAATTTGAGGAAGAAGTTGGAAAAAGCACTAAACATGCCGTACAAAACACAAAAACCAGCAATGAAGCTCGTTTCAGGTGTCGCTATTGTTACAAAAGATATAATGATGATTTCAGGTTTCAACGACATCTTAAGTCACATGAACATGGACCCTCAGAGTGCTCATACTGCAAAAGAACGTTTTTCAGGCAGTATGACTTGAAACGTCACATGAAAACTCACACTGGAGAGAAACCATTTCAATGCCCGCAATGCAAAAAGAAATTTGCACAGAGGGAACATTTGAAAAATCATGCAAGATTGCACACAGGAGAGAGGCCCTTTGAATGTTCTTACTGCAAAAAGAAATTTGCGCAAAAGGCCGTTTTAACAGCACACTTAAAAAGACATTCAGAGAGGACATTTGAGTGTTCTTACTGCTCGAAGAAATTTTTTAAAAAACAAGATATCGAACGTCATTTAAAAGTGCATACCAAAGAGAAGCCATTTGAATGTTCCTTCTGCAAAAAGAAATTCGCAACAAAGGAATACTTAAAATATCATGAAAAAACACACACTGGAGAGAAGCCTTACGAATGTTCTCATTGCAAAAAGAAATTCCCACGAAAGGAAAATTTAGACTTTCATGAAAGAATGCACACTGGAGAGAAGCCATTTGAATGTTCTTACTGCAACAAAAAATATGCACGAAAACAAAGATTGGAATATCATTTAAAAACGCACGCTTCAGAGAAGTCTTGGGGTGGACCTCATGGAAAATAAAAGGCATCAGTTGTGTTATCCAAATTCTGTTTAACATAAACATAACCAGGTGGTTCCTGGCAATTATGCCTCTCATTAAACCTTAACTTGTACCTATGACATGCATTAGGGACAATGCGTCCGCCATCTTGAAAAGTGAGACCCGAATCACTATGTCATTTAGATGTTGTCCCTTAGAACACATTCCGTAGTTGCTAAGTCAACTAATCCTATCATTGTATTCATGCATTGTATCACATATATTAACTTGGCATTAGGGCTTAGAACCTTTTTTAATTTTTTTTTTTTTTTTTTTAATTTCTTTTGAAGTTATATAATATATTATAGTTATAGTGATTCAAATGCCACGTTTTAAAGATGGCGGACGCATTGTTCTCCGCATTGAAATTCCTAATGCAGGTATACTAGTTTCCTGTTGATCAATGTAACCATAGCATCGATAATTATGATATATATATATTTTTGGACAGTGTTTTTGGCGAATATCACTTTACAAAAAAATACAACAGGATTTTCTTTTTTTTCATTTTTTTTAAGAAATTGCAGCAAAAAACCAATTTTAGCTCTCCTTCGAGCGCTTCACGTGGTCTTTGCTGTGGTAGGGGTAAACTGTACATTTTCGGTGTTAGGCAATGGCATAATACAACAATAAGCCATTTCCCCGTTCAAGCGAGCGACCGCTGATTTAGTAGACAACAGACTCACAACAGAGAACTTACCGTCTCTAAAAGAAAGCATGAAAACATGTCGACATTACAATTAAATGGCCCTAGAAATTTGAATCTCAGTTCTCCGATTTATGTCTAAGGCTGTATTTCCACAAGACCTAGAGTATAAGCCTTCTTGGAATACAGGCTAAGACTCAAATCAGAGAGATTGTATATTTTTCGCGCTTTCTTTGTTTGGTTAAGTCTTTGCTCAAGTGAGTTTGTTGTGTACTATTGCAGCGGTATCTCTCTTTGAACGGGAATAAGGCGTGTAATGCGAGCTCCTTTGTTTTCCATTATGTAATTTACATGATACTGCGGTTGCAATATTTGGTTGCAATATTTGCCTGTTTTCATTAACCTGTGAAACACACTTTGGCGTACAAAACATTTATTTATTACTCTAAATAGTGCACGTTTTTATCTCTTTTCAGAGTTTCACACTTTTTTCGCTCTTTGATTATTGCACTTTCGTTTACGGGTTAAGGGAAGCCCACTCTTCATGCTGCAGGGACTGCGCGCAATATTTATCAGTTGAGGGGGTTGAGAATGCAGAGAGGGGGGATGCAAAATCKAATTTTTTGTGCTTAAATAGGGGGGCACCGGCAATTGTCTAAAATTAACTAGAACTTAAATTTGAACCTGAAAAATCAACGTTGTCGGATTCTGTGCTTTTTGGCCAAATACTTGTTGAAGTGGAAAAGTTCTCAAGAAAGGCGCGCCACGATTTGCGATAACTTTTTAATCACGAGTAATAAATAAATAAATTCACGGGGGAGGGCGTAATTTATTTCGTTTGCGAGGGGGGACGTAATTAACTTTCTTGCTTTTTTTTGGCTCATTTCTCAACCTCGCCCGCCCCTACTCCTGATAAAAATTGCGCATTGCCTCATATCCTGTGCATATCGACCATGACGAGTTATAACATTTCATGTACCGTTATTCCGTTTTTAAGATAATTCACAGGATAGTGTTCAAGGTGATTATCGGTTTTTTGTGTAAGTGTAGATCGGTACTTTCTTGATCATGTACTTCATATCTATTGTGTCTTCAGCGTCCTTCAGGTCTCTATCATTTGCAGGACTCGTAGTCTTCAAGCACTTTAAAAACGTCTCCAAATTGCTTAAAGGTTTCTAAAATAACAAGAGAAAAAATACAAAAAATCTTAAATATATTAACGTTGTCAATATAAAAGAAAACGAAATTAGCAAATGGAAACGATAATGATGATTAATATTATTATTATTATTATTATTATTATTATCTTTTATTTCACAGAAAAATTCTGGTTGCTTACAAATTTTCACCGGGAATAAACCTTATTCCTTAGGCTTTTAAAGTAAATATTTAACTAATACAATAGAAAACTTCCAATAGAAAAATAAATAGATACAAAAATGGGTACATAAAGGAATCAAAAAAGAAATACATACGTGAATATGAATAAATAAACAATCTGATTATAGTCCAATATTTCTCATAATATGAGCTGAGCCCAGAAGTACTATTTTCTGCAGTGTTTTAAATTGAATGTTCTTTGATATGTAGCGAGGGTAGATCAGTCAACCAGTCACGTTTAGTCTATACGTCATAACATGTATCCGGTTACTGAATAGTTATATATAATGATTATGAAAAGCCAAATAAAGCTGAGTTCTACCCAAACGTCTTAGAGTGAATATTTGGTCCGCGACAAATCTGGTGGCAGCGGATCGTTTCCACGCCATGAGTGCTATTCTCCCACCCAAGTTTGATAGTGGGGATTTTGAAGCATGGCTTCGTCAGTTTGAGGCATGTAGCGCCGCGAACGGTTGGGTGGTAACCGAAGCGAAAGACGACAAGCTTCTCAAGCTCCCCGCATTCTTAACGGGTCGAGCAGCCAGTCATTTTTACGCAATTGAATCGACCAAACGGGCCACGTTTGCTACCGCCGTGAAAGAACTACGGGCTGCTCTCTGCCCGGCAGCTAGCCGTGAAAACCTTTACGCAGAATTCGAGGCACGAGTGTTACGACCCGCTGAGGACCCTTCGGTTTATCGCTGGGAACTCGAAAACCTTCTGGCCAAAGCAGAACCTACTCTCAGTAACGACGCCAAAATAGCTTTAACTACGCGCCAGTTCATGAGAGGATTACCGAAGTCTCTCAAACTCAAACTGTTGGAACACGACCCTACTCCTACTCTCGCCAAAATGGTGGACTTTGCTCAACGCTACCAAGCCATAGAAGGCTACGTTTCACCGGACACAGGTCATGCCGCTGCTGTATCACTTCCAGCAGGGACATCTCACCCGTTGCCAGATCCACAACTTACGCAACTGATGTCTATGGTCGCCGGTATCGCGGAAAAACAAGACGCCCTGGACAAGCGTATTACTCAAGCAGAGAAACAAACCCCGCCATCTGGACAACAGCTAGTGTGCTTTCGGTGCGGCCTCCCTGGCCATGGAAAACGCCAGTGCCCAAACCAAGAAGCCCCACAATCAAGCGCGCCACGTGCGCAAGGCCGAAGACAAGGACAAAGACGACGACAAACAATACAATGCTTTAAATGTTCCGGCTATATAGCCAGAGACTGTGCTAACAATGATTTAAACTACTAGGGGATGATCCGTCTCGGGGGCAACGTCATCATCCCATTGTAAGTAGTAGCAATAGTAGTAATATTAATTTTTGTGCCCACCCATTTGTTGATTGTATTATTGAGGGTGTCCATGTCCGAGCTCTGTTAGATACAGGCTCGATGAAATCGTTTTTAAGTCGCCATATTCATAATGTTATCGATTTTGATCACTTAGCTCTTGATAAATCTAGTAACCATAAGTGTGTTTCTATAACGRGAAACCAGTTAAATATTTTAGGTTGTATAACGACAAAACTTAGTTTTGTCCATTCCAAATACTCGTATTCCGGGACTTTTTTAGTTTCTGATAACATTCCTTATGAATGTGTAATAGGTTGGGATTTTATCTTAAGTAATCAGCTGTCTCTTAAATCGGATATAGGAGGGGATTATCTTTTGTGTGGGCGGCATGGCGTAACTCACATTTATCATCACAAGGAAACGGAAATTACGTCGAGGGTAGGAATTATTGACCAACACCCTACCCCTGTTAGGGACCGCGTTTTATATGAATCGGAACATGGCTGCTGTGCAGGGGTTGTTCTTACTGAATCAGTGGTGATTCCACCCCGATCGGAGATGATGTTGGGAGGAAAAGTGTCCAGTAAAATAACTAGTACAGTGGGTATGGTGGGGCCATCACCACGCGCTACTAAGGAAAGAGACGGCTTACACATAGCTCACGCAATTGTCACACCGGGGGAGGGTCGAGTTGTCCCCCTCAGAGTAATGAATATGTCAAACCGCAAAATTGAGTTATCTGTTGGAGAAAACTTAGCAGAATTTTCTTCTTTAGTCGAGTCTTGTACAAAGAAACCTGATGCACCACGGGGCAATGTCGTAGCGGGAGTATTTCAGCAAACATCTGACGATTTTGCAAAACAGGTCGACACAGCTCTCGACTCGGGCCTCAGTTCTAGCGATAAACAGTATGTTTTGGAGCTTCTGTATGAGTTTAGGGACGTTTTTGATGACAGCTTGGGTCATACCACAACTTATTCTCATCGGATTGATACCGGTAATAGTACACCAATTAAGCAACGACCCCGTAGACTGCCATACGCACATAGAGAGGAAGCCAAAAAGCAAATTACTTCGATGTTAGAACAGGGCGTTATTAGACCGAGTACCAGCGCCTGGTCCAGCCCAATTGTACTTGTTACAAAAAAAAGCGGAGAACTTCGCTTTTGTGTCGACTTCCGGAAATTAAATTCTGTGACAACTGGTCACGCACATCCGTTACCTAGAATGGACGATATTTTTGACTCGTTAGGCAATTCGCAATATTTTTCCACTCTAGATTTGCGCCAGGGGTACTGGCAAATCGAAGTATGCGAGGAAGACAAGCATAAGACTGCTTTTGTTACGCATAACGGGCTTTACGAGTTTAACCGCATGCCATTCGGTCTCTCAACGGCACCGAGTACATTCCAAAAAACCATGGAAATTGTGCTGTCCGGTTTAACTTACGAAACGTGTTTATGCTACCTCGACGACGTTATCGTCTTTGGCCAGGACATACGTGCACATTGTTCACGACTTAAGACCGTCCTTTGTAGACTACGAGACCATAATCTTCGCGCAAGGCTATCGAAGTGTAAATTCGCAGCACGAGAAGTTCATTATCTAGGTCACATTATCTCACAGGATGGTGTCAAACCAGACCCTGGCAAAATAGCGGCCGTAAATGATTTACCACCACCCAATTCGGTTAAAAGCGTTCGTAGTTTCTTAGGCCTTTCTGGATATTATCGCAAGTTCATACCGTCATTTGCGACTATTTCGGCTCCGCTGGTTCGCTTAACCGAAAAGAATGTGCAGTTCAAATGGACAGACGAATGCGAGGAGGCATTTCGAACCCTTCAAAGGTTACTCTGTTCGGCTCCGGTCTTGTGTTTCCTAACTGGGAACTTCAATTTATCTTGCAAACGGATGCGTCCGATTTTGGCGTAGGTGCTATTTTATCGCAGGTCGACCATAACGGCATCGAGCGAGTCGTTTCTTACGCATCTAAGGTCCTCTCAGCGAGGGAAAGGAAATATTCGGCCACGGAAAAGGAAGCATATGCGATTATTTTTGGAGTACGACACTTTCGAGTGTATTTACTAGGTCGTTCATTCCGTATCGTGACGGATCACTCTGCATTGCAGTGGATGCATACTATGGAGCCCAAAGGCAGAGTAGCTAGGTGGCTGATGGATCTACAGGAATTTCAATTTATTGTCGAGCACCGTGCCGGGCGTCTCCACAACAATGCAGACGCTTTATCGCGCTTGGTGCCGGAACCGGAAAATCACAGTGTTGCTAGCGCGAGTGTTCGAGACCCTGCTCCACTTCGTAAAATTGTGATAACGAAAAAAGAGATCAACTTGTCCAGCGGTCGTAAGGTTATCATTACCTTTCAATCTTCTACTAAACAACCGGATGACGCTAGTGTAACTACCAAAGTACGTCATAATCTTACAGATTTGTCTCAAACTTCCGCGAATAGCACGTCCTGTACCACGCGGGTTAATCCTACCATTAATTTCAAAGACGCTCAGCAAACTGACCCTCAGCTGTCGAAAATCATTGAGTGGAAGCTCAATGGAGTCGAAAAGCCCGATTACAAAGCGTTTGGCAAAGGAAGTTATAAAGCGCTGCTTAAGTATTATGATCGACTTTTTATTCATAACGGAATACTTGTTCGTGCCGTCGGGACCCGGCAGCCGCATCCTGATTATGTCATCGTGGTCCCCGAAAATTTACAAAACGAAGTACTGGATGCGCTGCATTGTGGCCCTTTTTCTGGCCATTTAGGAATAACGCGTACAGAGGAACGCATTCGAACGCGATTTTATTGGCCGGGAATTCGCACGGCAGTCGAGAATTTTGTTCGAACATGTCAAGAATGTTCCAAGAACACGTCCCCAGGACGTCAAAACCGGGCTCCTCTCGGTACTTTAAGCGTCGGCGAACCGTTTACTTTCTGGGCTATGGATTATATGGGACCGCTCCCAGAAACTTGTCGAGGAAACAAACATCTTCTCGTCGCCGTCGATCACTTCACTAAGTGGTGTGAGGTTTTCCCTACTAAGGATCAGAAGGCGAGCACGGTTGCTCCCCTACTAATAAGCAAAATATTCTCGAGATTTGGTCCTCCCGTTGTTTTACACTCTGATCAAGGTCGAAATTTCGAAAGCGTGCTAATGCATGAGATTTGCGACGCCATGGGCATTACAAAAACTCGGACCACTGCGTACCACCCCCAAGGGGATGGACAAACGGAACGACAGAATCGAACATTGCAAAAAATGCTCTCCTCGTTCGTATCGAGTCGCCAAGACGACTGGGATCTGTGGGTCGATAGCGTCGTCTATGCTTACAATACTAGCTTGCATGAGTCCTTAGGACTCTCTCCATACGAAGTTGTCTTCGGTCGTACACCTCGGTTGCCTTTCGAATTAGAAGTCGGTATACCACTTTCCAATCCGGCGACACATAGTGAGTATTTACACTCAGCCCGCACTGTATTTCGGGACGTTCGGTCAGTTGCACGGGAAAACTTAAAGCAAGCGACCGAGAAAAGAATGAAACAGAGTCGAGCAGACCAGAAGGACAATCCATGGCAGCCCTTTCGTGTAGGACAACCTGTTATGCTCAAGAGGCCTAAAAGTTGGAAATTCGGCAGTAAGTGGGTGGGACCCTTTGAGGTTAAAAGGCGCATGGGAGTTAACTATAGGATAGAATCTAAGGTGGGGAAACAAAGAGTTGTGCATCATGACCACCTGAAGCACAGCTATGTTCCGTTCAGAGAGGGGGAGGTAGTTTGCCCGGGGAGGGAGTTTGATGATTTCCAGTTTGTTGAATGTGCGCCACCAGCCACCCCACAGGATAATCCCCGGCTAAGACCTAGACGACTACGGCAAAACATCCGCCCGCCAGTCCGCTATGGATATAACTCATAGTAGGGTGTGCCGCAAATATTAGGCTTGTACTTTTTCTGATTGATCTTATTTTAATAAGATATTTTATATTATGCAATATTTTAGTATGTTCTCGGGGCGAGAACATTAAGGGGAGGGGTAGTGTAGCGAGGGTAGATCAGTCAACCAGTCACGTTTAGTCTATACGTCATAACATGTATCCGGTTACTGAATAGTTATATATAATGATTATGAAAAGCCAAATAAAGCTGAGTTCTACCCAAACGTCTTAGAGTGAATATTTGGTCCGCGACAGATATCTTCTGGAGATTTTCAGTTGTCCCGTTTTTAGTCGTTCCTAGAGCCCCTATGATGACTGGTATAACTTGGGTGTTTACGCTCCACATACGGCTTATCTCTATTTCCAGANTGTAACGGACCGAGAAACGGCTAGTAAATACACAGTATTGACTCGTTGAAGGACCTTTAATGCTTATAGCAAGACTGCTAGAAGTGAACTGATTATTTGTCACAATTGTGCTCTATTTATGTACAATTCTATGTCTAATTTAGTTACATTTGTAATCATTGCGTATTCGCGCGTAGGCTAGTCTAACCCAAGATTTACGCAAGGGAAGTTACGAAATTACGTACTAGAATAACGGAGAACGACATTACGGACTATCCCGAAATCAGATACTTGAGTTACGTAAGTCAACAAAGGAGTGTCTGTGACGTTGCGTATGTCACGGAAAGGTCACGTACTCTACTCTTCGCTACAGTACCAATTATCGGTCACCTCGATGCCGTTATCCTTACAGAGTATCCAATGCAAGTATGAGGCGGCATTGTTGTGTCTCTTTAGATACTGTGTAGGAGCAAGGATCTCACAGCCTGTGAGAAGATGGTCGATTGATTCTGTTTTGCTGTGACAGAGTCTGCAGAGACCATCAGTAGTATTATCCTTGAGGACATGATGTTGGTAATTCCGTGTCAGTAACGACTGGTCTTGAGCAGCAGCAATGAAACCTTCTGTCTCACCTTTCAAATCACCTGATGTCAGCCATGCGTTGGTAGCTGCTTTATCAACATAGTGTCTATTCACATTTATACAGTACTGGCCATGTAAAGGTTTTGCTTCCCAGCGCTCTTTCCGACTTTCAAAGATCTTTTCTCTTAACTTCATCTTCAGGGCCTTGGCATTTTCAGATGGTGTTTTGTCTTCTTTAAATTCTTCATCAACYAGATCATATTCTTGCTTCACCTTCGCTGCAGTTTTTGAGATGGAGTACTTTGATTTACAGCTGTCATGATGTTTAACCAGTTTTAGCTTTGTCTCTTGCTTYAGCGTGATATAACAATCTAAGCCGACCATTGCTGTTTTAAAAGATGCTTCTAATTGAGTAAGTCCTCTCCCGCCATATTTTCTTTGTATATATAGCCTGTCTACATCAGATCTTGGATGGAACATTCTGTGCATGGTTAGAAGCTTTCTGGTCYTTCTGTCAAGCTTAACAATCTCATCTACTTTCCAGTCAATGATTCCGAAACTATACTGTACTACAGGCACCGCAATAGAATTGATTGATTCAATCTTGTTCTTTGCGTGAAGCTCACTTTTCAGTACCATTTTAACCCTTCTGTAGTATTCTTTCCTGATCTTTTCTTTCATTTT